CCACAGATGCCAACCCAGATTACTTTACCCAGCCAAAATGTCTATTATAGTCAAAGGGGAAAGAAAAATCTTCCATGACATAAATAGACTGAAAGAATTCATGACCACAAAACTAGCCCTTCAGAGAGTTCTGGAAGCAATACAAAGAGCTGAAGAAAGGAATGACTATACCCAAGGGGTTGCGGAAAGAAATTCAATGAAGGTATAACTGTGGAAAAGTACAGCTACATCAAGAATGTAAACGGAAATAAAAATGACAGGATTCAATACTCCATTAGATAGGTCAAGAGGGCAGAGAATTAACAGAGAGACATCTGAATTAAACAATACCACATACCAAGTGGATTTAACAGACATCTACCGAGTATTCTACCCAAGCACCAAAGGACATACTTTCTACTCAGCACCCCATGGAACCTTCTCCAAAATCGACCATATACTGAGGCACAAAACAAACCTCAACAAATACAAAAAGTTGAAATAATTCCATGCATTCTATCAGACCACAATGCAATAAAGCTTACAATCAACACCAGAAGAAGCCCTAATCACCACATGAACACATGGAGATTAAACAACACACTCCTGAATGATGAATGGGTCAAAAGAGAAATTAAGAAAGAAATAAAAGTATTCCTGGAACTAAATGAAAAGGACAATACAACACAACAAAACCTCTGGGACACTCTGAAAGCTGTCCTTAGAAGGAAGTTTGTAGCTCTAAGTGCCTACATCAAAAAATCAGAAAGAACACAAATAAATGACTTAACACTGCAACTCAAGACACTTGAAGAGCAAGAACAAATAAAACTCAAACCCAGCAGACAAGAAGAAATAACAAAAATCAGGGCAGAAATTAATGAAATAGAAACAAAGAAAACAATACAAAGAATCAACTAATCCAAGAGCTGGTTCTTTGAAAAGATAAACAAGATTCACAGACCGCTAGCCCAGTTAACCAAAAGAAAGAAAGAGCACCTCCAAATCAACAAAATCAGAGCTGAAAGGGGAAACATCACAACAGGCACCAAAAAGATACAGAACATTTTAAGGGAATACTTTAAAAACCTATATGCTGGCTGGGGGTGGTGGTGCACGCTTTTAATCCCAGCACTTGGGAGGCAGAGGCAGGCGGATCTCTGTGAGTTTGAAGCCAGCCTGGTCTCCACAGTGAATCCAGGACAGCTGGGTCTCGAAAAGACCAAAAACAAAAACAAAAACAAACCTATATGCCACTAAATTTGAAAACCTAAAAGAAATGGAAATATCTAAAGGCATGGGAACCACCAAAACTAAACCAAGAAGAGA